AAAAACAACAAAACAAAATTTGCAGCAAGTTTCTTCAGTTGTTTGTGCTGTGAGAATTTGCAACATGTGTGTTGTCAAATTGATGAAGATCGTTTCTTTATTTGCTGGTGTTTTTTGTAATTGCATGTGCTTTCTTAAACTGCAGAGCGTTAAGCTCTCTCTGCAACTCTATATGACTATGTCTTTAACAGCATCATTAGCACTTAAAAGCGATGCTGAAAATGATTTTGTGCTTGTCTCTTCTCATCATCATTTACGCCTAAGGAATATCGTTAATTTCATTTCATTTTCGCAGTCCGATTTCCAAAATATATCAGGTATATAAATGGGGAAGGCAACGAAGCAAAGGCCATGGCTGTGTCTGTGCACGGATTCATGTTCTTGTGTTGACCAGTCAGGTCTTGCAGGTTACACAGAACGCAAACGAGAAACAAGATGTTGCGAGCTTCCTGTTGATCACATGACCTTCGCACGAAAACAATTTCAAACTGTGATTTTTTTTTCTTTTCTTTTCAGTGAAAATTTATAAATACTTAAGTACTAAAGCACCGTCAATGGAGATCATTTATAAAATGCCAATAAAAGTGATTTCAGCAAGGAAACGGCTCGCACTACTAACTGGTTGTTAAGGGCCCCCTAGTGGCAGCAGGGCCCTAAGCAGCAGCTTAGTTCGCTTATAGGGAAGCCTGGCTATGTGTGTGTGGGGGACTAATTTCTTCCACACGTCACCCAAAGCCTTCTCTTTTGTTTTAAATAGATTTTTGGACTGTTGTGGACTGCGAAGTAACTTTAATTTAACGTGTTTGTTTGTCCACTTTAGCTTTAATACTACTTTGGTGAAGCGATACGGTCAATTCACACCTTAGAATGCTCATCAGCCAATTGAAATCAAGCATTCAACAGCTATGCGCTATAAATTATCATATTATTTTGTCAGCTTTTGTAAATTCTGCTGTGTGTTTGTGTGTACCATGTGTTTCTTTTTCAGACGGTGGAAGAGATGCTGGATTGCTCTCCTCTCCACTGGAGCAAATCACTGAGGTTTTAACGCTAAGCCGCAGGGACGTGTGTGAGTGTGTGTGTGTGTGTGTCTCCGTCTCTCTGCCTCTGCCATCAGGGACGCAGGGACGATCAGCTCTGTTTCACATCAAAGAGTCCGTGAGTGTGTCGGGCCACTTGATTCCCTCTGCGTTCACTCAGGGACGTACACACACACTCCAAACACTCACTCCTGCGCCTCATACCGTCATACTCACAGCTGGCTGGTCATCGCTCCGAACGCTAACACCGTGCTAATGATGCTACGCTAACAACAAGTCCTCAGCTCGCAGCGGTTCAAATATGCATGAGGCCACTAAACGTATGCTAATGACTCCCCTTTCCTCCCGCCCCGAGTTAATGCATGCTAATGACAAGCCGTGTGAATAAAGCCATTTAAAACCCCGCTTCACTCATGACCTATTATCCCTCCAGCGGTGTGGGGAAATAATAGCATGCGCTGACAGGTGTGATTAAAGTCATGGCGGCGGGAAAACGCAAACGGTAAATTAGCTAATATGAAAATCACAATCTGGCCAAACACATCATCATCTAGAAAAGGCATGGATTAAGATTGATATAATATAGTACTGAATAAAGTTACAAGTTAATATATAAAAGATACAAGCTAATATACATTGCTATTTGGATATCTATTATGCTACTGTACAAAATAAACCTGATTTAATGTTCAAAAACCCGGACTTCTGCTGCATGTTTGAAGCATCCTCGTATAGTTGTACTGACACTATGGGCCCTATCATACACCCGGCGCAAGACATGTTTGCCCCAACGCTATTTTCAGCCCAACGCAACCTTAATTTAGCCGTTTTCCGACATGTTTGTGGACTGATGGGTGTTTCGGGCTAGAAAAGAAGTGTGTTAAGGCGCATTGCTGGTGCATTGCTATTTTGAGGAACTAAAACAGACTTCGCAATAGATCAGCTGAGAGCTCCTCTAAAGTCCAGCGCAGAGCACGTTAGTCGTGCGCATCGCTTACACATTGCTTAAAACAAGCAGGATGTACAGCAATACGCAAATATCAATTCAATTCAATGCAGCTTTATTTGTATAGCGCTTTTACAATGTAGATTGTGTCAAAGCAGGTTCACATAAATTGTCATAGTAACTGGATCAGGGTAGTTCAGTTTTTAGTGTTTAAGTTCAGTTCAGTTTAGCTCAGTTCAGTGTTTTTTAAAGTCATTACTAGGCCCACATGGAATCTGCACGCTCAGAATTCCGCAGATTTTCCACAGAATTCTGCAGATTTTTAGCCCATTATTAATTCTGTTTATTTACTTGAGTAAATGTGTAAATCTGAATCTATTCAGTTTTTATTCAGTAATTTATTACTTTTTATTTAATATATTAAGGTTTTAGTTATGATGCTCAGTTGGATACTCCCAAAATAATTCCGCAGAAATCCGCAGATTTTTGCCAAAATTCTCCGCAGAAATAGCAAAAAACGTCCGCAGATTCCGTCTGGCCCTAGTCATTACTGAGCGTCCAAACACTGAAGAGCAAATTCATCGATGCGTAGCTCTACCGATCCTGACCCATGCAAGCCAGTGGCGACAGCGGATAAATATCTTTACAAATAAAAAAAAATCAAAAGATTAAAATGTTCTAAAAATTATTATTTTCCACTTAAAATACCAAAAAAAAAAAAAAAAAAAACATACCTTCATGTCTTCTTTATCCCCAGGGCTTTTTCAGTTTATTCATGACAATTTGCTTTGGTATAATGTTATTATTACTAATAGTATTATTTATTATATCCATATTTATATTTGTTTTATTAAAAACAAGCTTAGATTGTCCACCTGTTAGGTTTTGATTCATATCCGGCGTAAGAACAGCATGTGTGTTTGTTTATAACTGTTTTTTGAACACACTTCGTTATTATTGCTCATTTATTCGATTTCTGGAAATTAGAACTGAATTTAGCAATAGTTTAGAAATAAATCTTTGTGCTTAACAAGCTAAATTAATTATGTAGGCTACAACACCGTTTCCGAAAGAGAGAAAGAGAAAGTGAAAATAAAGGCCGAATGGAGGAGGCTTATTCTTTATCCTTGCGCTGCAGATGCTCTGTTTAACTCTTTTCTTGCTAGTGAAGAGCTCAGTTTTTCCACTTACAAAGTCTGCCATGTAAATAGCAAATGCGTTATGGCGTGACGCAAATGACTCTTAAAGGGAATGGGAGAT